GGGGATTCGGAAATATTATGTTGCCTCGGGGATTTTGTACTTGCGGGGTTTCGTTATTGCGGGTTTCGACTGTATAACAATGAAATTTTCGTGGAATTTGAGTATCATAAATTGGTTCTACTGTATAATCCAAAACAAGCAAAGCTGTCATGTTTCGTTTGCTTGATACCGTATTTACTCGATTCTACCGTGCCCTCGATTGTAACGCGCGCCCGGTTTCGACGATGAAAAAAAAAAAGTAAGACATCGATTGCAACGCGCACCCACTTTTCTCCTTGGCCCGCACGATCACATCACTCGAAAAAACGACTCCTTTCGGGAGTGTCTTCCATTTAAATATGAGGTACGGGGGAAGCTTGTGCCCATCTGACGTGTAACAGAGCATTGTCGTCACTGCAGTTTTGCCGTGGACCGGTGTCAGCACGCGAACTTGCTTCGCCCCCTTCTTCTCGACGGTTGTGGTGCTAGGCATGTCTGAGGCGTCTGATTGACATTCCCTATTTGCCCAAGCAGATAGCCGTTGTTGTGCCGCAAGTTTAGGACGAACCTCTGAAAACTGTGAAGCTTTTCATCGTACTCCTCTTGAAACTTTTTGCATATGCCCGTTCGCCTTCGGAGGGAAAAGCTTTTCCTCTTCATAAAGTTAGTTAGCTAGCACCTGCTCGCTTTAAACTGGCTCCGCATTAGCCCTTTTTCTATTATAAGGCTAACTAGATAGCTCGCACTTGGAGCAGTTCTGTCGTCACGGACCGCTGTGCCGCTCGCTGCTAAAGCACATACTCGCCGAGCAGCTCTTTAATTTGCGGAAACAGACCCTGCTGTGGTCCACTGAAGCCTTTGCGTGAAACTTTGCTGTCGACAATCTTCTGCTTTTGTTTCCGCCAGTCCCGCACGCACATTTCGGGAACTCCGAACGACCACGATGCGGCCCATTTGCGTCCATTTCTACACACGCGATGACTTTTCTTTTAAAAGCGGCATCGTGGTGCACTCGAGTTTTTGGAGTCGGTCCTTCCATACTGTCGACGCTAATGCACTACAAGATGACGAACTCCTCAGCACACGTACGAAGTGCCGCACATGGGAAACATATAGGCAGAAATGGCTGACGCGCCGTGCCGACCCACACGGAGGAAGGAAAGGTACCGACGCACGTAGGGGGCAGCCATTTTGGATATGCCGATGGCAATAGAACGACCGTATTCAGTTTTTTTTTTTATACTCGATTCTAATGCGCATGCAATTTATGAACTCGCTCAATTGGAAAAAAGGTGCGCGTTAGATTTGAGTAATTACGGTATTGACTTTTCAGTCACACATGGGCATTGTAGGTGAAGAAACAGGAATTTAATGTTGTACAAAACACTTCTAAATCTACTTCACAATTTTATGCAAAAGCAGCAGCTCTGCCATCATAAATTCAATCTCATTGCCGCAGAAACTTGTCCGAGAGTGTGTGATGGCTGTGCGGCAGGCAGTAAAGCACAGTACTGTCTATGTGTCGTATCTCGTGTACAATACAGAACATCTGAAAAAAAGAAATTAAATAAAGATGCTGATGGCCCTCCAACAAGGCACGCAACTTGTCTTAGTGCAAAATACATTGGTGTTTGCTTTGTGAGAATGTTCATATGAAATAAATAGCAGAAGTGCAAACAAACAACCCCTTTTATGCAGTAAAGCTGGATCATAAATAGACAGAAAAAGGGCTTTTATCACAGCATGTGGGTTTGCATACATTGTAATGCTATTGCAAAGAAATGGTTGTGTGCTTAGCTCGATTATGTGGGTTCTATGCCCAGCTACAGGGGCCACATTTTGACTGGGGTGAATTCAAGAGCACCTGTGCACATATTTAGGTGCATGTTTAAAAAGCCTAGGTTGTTAAAGTTATTCGAAATTTCCTCTATGGCATGTCTCATAATGGTGTCATGCTGTTCGCATGTAAAACTGCAAAACTTGTTGTTGGAAAGGTCTGAGTGACAAGAAAACCACTCTATTTATGTTTGCACATGCGTTTTTTGGAATGGATGCTTCCTTTCGATGAGTCTTTCATCTTGTGTGCTTGCCCACAACTAACATATTTCTAGAAAAGCAGTATACACAAAACATCAATGCGATATAATATTGCTAGAAAAGGAATTGCTTCTTCTTCAAACACCCCATTGGCCATAAACTTGCATAGATGATATAGCATCAGCTTTAGATAATCAATGTCAGATGGATTGTTTATTTTTGGACTCCAGAAAGGCCTTCGATACGGTATCACAGCCAATTCCAATTCGAAAACTGCAGAACTTGAACATTGATCAAACCGTTTGCCGATTGATTACGGACTATTTAACTTCAAAAAAAAAACAGAAAGTTGTTCTAGGTGGATCATGTTCATGTTTAGTTTCGGTGACATCAGGGGTACCTCAAAGTTCCATACTCAGCCCACTTTTCTTACTTGTGTTTATTAATGGTATTTTGTATATAGTTAGGTGTCGTATCAGAATATTTGCTGACGACTGTGTGTTGTATACTGAACTGACTGACCAGACGGATTCCACTCAGCTTTAGGATGACCTTAGTCACGTGGAGGTATGGTGTAAAAATAATGACATGGTACTAAACACTAATAAATGCGTTCACATCAGTTTCACTAAAAGGGTCAATAGGTTTACAAATCAGTACATTTTAAACAACTAGTTATTAGGAAAGAAAACAAATACAAGTACTTTTGTGTCATGTTTTCTGAGGATGGGGGATGGTCTGAACACATTGGCAGTGTTCTCAGCAGAGCTGGAAAAGCCTTAGGCTTTTTTACAAAGAAATCTTAAACATGCAACTAAGGAGGTTTAACAGGCTGCATAATATGCCTACGCCAGACCAATACTGAAATGCGCCTGTCCTGTGTGAAATCCGTTTCACAATGCAGTTATTCATGCACTAGAGCACATTCAGTCGATAACAGCAAGATTTGTTCTGGGAAAATATGACCGAACTGAAAGCTCCCAATGTATGAAAAGAGAACTTAATTGGCAATGCAGTCGAACCCCGCTACAACGAAACTGACGGGGCTAGAAAAAATTTAGTGTAAGCGAAAATTTCGTGTGAAGTTGAAAAAATATAGCTGATCTGAGTTAGCAAAACAAAGGAACGTTTATTCTCAAAATTCAAAAAGTGCCTGCTACTTTCTATTCTTTTCCAGCAGCGTCATGGCGCAATTCTTACCATGCATAGCGAGGCCATGATGAAAAGCACGTTGAAACAAGGCCTACAACCGCTTTCGGGAACGAACCAAACAGTTGCATTAACACGTTAATACCAGCAGCTGTCTGCCGTCAAAGTGTATCCGACAACGCGGAGATGAAGGCAGGGTATCGTGGAGCGGTGACTTTTGCCTTATTCTATGTCATCGTTATCATCCACCACTCGCGGCTCGATGACTTTGTTGATAATGCAGACGAACAGCTGCTCTGATTAGTTACCACAATCGCCAATCATGAACGAAATAATATGCATGGGCAATGAAAAAGGCATCGTTCCGCACAGCTACGTGAAATAAAACCATGAACTGAGCGATTGAGCTTCAGCTTCAGATCGTCTGCAGCTCAAAAGCAAGCTTCTGACAAAAGTAGGGCAGTCTAATTGCCATCGCTATCGAGCAATGGCGGCGCCCATGCTTGCTGAACAGCGGCGGTTTCTAGTGGTGCTAACGCATGTTTTAGACTTCGTCGACGTATTTGAAGAAGTTCTGAAAATGCATCAAAATGTTCAAGACTGTGTTTACTGTATAGCAATAAATATCTGAGCCTGGAATTGCATCGTGAAATTTCGTTGAAGCGGGACGGCAGAAGAAAAAGTGTTCGTTGTGGCGACAATATTTATGCATTGACTCCTATAGACTGCTGACGGGGAACCGTGAATTTTTCGTTGTAGCGGAAATTTCGTTGAAGCGGCATTCATTGTAGCGGAGTTCGACTGTACTTGCAAGATCGAAGACCTAATCTGAAATTGAAACTATTTTATTCAACTTATAACATGAAAACAGGTATTAATCCTTCAGAATATTTAAAACCAGCACATTATCAATCCTCTCGTCGTGACCACAAATTTAAAATACGGCCATGCAACCCTAGAACTGATCTGTTTAAACATTCTTTTTTTCCACAAGCTACTGTCGAATAGAATATGTTACCAGCTGATTTAGTTGGCCGCAAGACTGCGGATTCATTTTATGAAGCACTGTGCCCCCCGCAACAATGCCTAAGATAGCGCTGCGGGTAATGTTCCAAATAAAAAGAAAATCAGGAGAAAGACTAGTCAAAGGTATTATTTTCTTGCATGGTCTAGCTAAGTTTCAGTACTTTGGTGATCTGCTTAACAGTGATGTTATACAGGTTTTTTGTTGTTTCACTGAAGGTATCGCCCACTTGAGATGGAGTTTATGCTGAAACAAATTTCATCAAAATGGTTTTTTGTAAACTTTATTTTGGCTCTTTCTTGAGATATTTACCTCTCTCTCTCTCTTTTTTTCAAGGCATAAAAGAAAATTTTTACTCTTGCTTGATGCAGCAAGTGTTACAAGAGCTCAGAGTTAACATAAAAAGTAAGGTATAAAACAGTACATTATTTTCATCTAACAGGGCAAAAAACTCTATTGTCTGGTAAAAAGGTTGTGCTGTTTTATACCTTGTAGAACTAATCAACTAGCCCAGCTACAGATTTTGTTGAACTGTTCAGCTGTTTCTTTTTTCTTCTTCATTGCCTCTCTGAAAGTGTTCTACAAGGACGTCTTGAGGGGCTAGTTGGTTCATTCTATTCAGGTAAAAAATTGCGCTGAAATAGAAAGGACACCACAAAGAAGGAACACTTAAACTTTGCGCTCGATCTGTTTAAGTGTTCCTTCTTTGTGGTGTCCTTTCTATTTCAGCGCAATTTTTTACCTGAATAGTGTTCTACAAGTGAGCAGTGCTTTTAAATGACAGCTCAAAACTTACCTTGCTGAACTGCAGGTGGACAAACTCAATCGTCAGCGCAGCTCAACACCAGATGTCCTTCGAAGTGGTTTACGGCCAGACAGTCACAGTGGGGACACACATTGTGATCAGGATAGTGTTAGCGAAAGCTCGGACTCACCACTGGTAAGTTAACCTGTATAGACCTACGACTGAGTACATTTGCAAGAAGTTTTCTTTGATGCAGAGTGTGAGCTATAAGATACTCGCCCCTCTTTGTGCTTTGTTATGGTGGCCTACTTTGGGTGCATTCAGCTTGAGGCCCTTGATGGATGCGCCTTTGGTGGCTTGTCTTTAAAGGTGGACCAAAGGGATTTGCCCAGGTCTGGCCGCTTCGGTGGCGGAGCTTCTTGACCACAGGTGCTTTATTTCTTCTTCTCTCTTTCTTTCCCGCTTGCCATGTCTTCTTCCTTTTCCTAATAACAAATGAAAATCACTCACAAGTTTACTGGTGTCTATAACTTTTTCGTTCACACTCTTTTGGCGTCCTGTACCCTTTAATTTCTGACTTAACATAATACAGTCGACTCCCGGTAATTCGAAGTCGCTTAATTGGAAGTTTTGGTTAATTAGAAATGAGCAAGTGGTCCCATCAGTTTTGCATGCAATCGTATAGAAAAAAAATGCTCGATAATTCGAAGTTAAAAACCCATAATATTGGTTAATTAGAAGTTTTTTCAATCGACAGTCTCGTCGCGACCGTAATTTTACAGTAAAATGGGGAACTTTTCATATGCCAAAACATCTGCCGGACCGCGCTGGTGTCTTCGCCATCACTACTGTCCGCAGCGCCACAGATCTTGAAGCGGCAATCTTTTTAACGCTGGCGAATCGCATCGGCGGCATCGACTGACTCTTTAGTTGACTTTTGTCGAGACTCGAGTGTGTCACCGCGTCACCCGCGCGCTGGGTTGATTCCACATGTGTTTCCGCGCTTCTGATTTTGAGTGTTGTGGTGGTGACGTACGTTTGATAATGGCAACTCGTGGCCCTTACCGAACGCTAGACCTAGCGACGAAAGTCGAAGTCTTGAAGGAAGTTGACCAGGGAGGCACCGCCAAACAAGACATTGCAAGAAAGTACGTCATTAAGCCTAACACGCTGTCGACTTTCATAAAGAATAAGCGCTCAATATTGGATGCGTTTGAAAGTGAAAAATTCAAGACATCGCGGAAGCGGATGCGCACCGGCGCCTACCCCGAGTTGGAGGAAGCACTGCTGATTCGGATCAGAGAGGCACGAAACAACAAACTTCCTCTCAGTGGTGAAGTCGTCACGGCAAAAGCGTCATCGCTTGCTGAAATGTTGGGCATCAACGACTTCGCTGCTTCGGATGGGTGGCTTACGCGTTTCAAACATCGCCACGACTTGATTTTTAAAAGCGTGTGTGGGGAGAAGGCGTCAGTCGATGAGGAAACATGCCTGACATGGAAAGCAGGCAAGCTTCGCGAGTACCTCGAAGAATACCAGCCGGCAGACATTTTTAATGCAGACGAGACTGCGCTTTTTTATCGGCTGCTACCGGACAAGACCCTGACATTTAAAGACGACGACTGTTCTGGAGGCAAAAGAAGCAAAGAGAGAGTGTCAGTGCTAGTCGCGGCGAACATGACTGGCACAGAACGGTGTCGCCTGCTTCTGATCGGGAAGGCTGCCAAGCCTAGGTGCTTTAAAGGCGTGAAGACGCTTCCTGTGGATTATGCCTCGAACAGAAAGGCGTGGATGACATCCGATATATTTAAGGACTGGATCACCAAACTCGACCGCAAGTTCGCGCAATCAAGCCGTAAGGTGTTGTTCCTTGTGGACCAATGTAGTGCCCACATGAACGTACCTGCCTTGAGTGCCATCCGTCTTGTGTACCTGCCTGCAAACACGACGTCCGTGTTGCAGCCCATGGACCAGGGCATAATTAAAAATGTGAAGGTATCGTTTATGCAGCATCTCGTCGAGCGCATGCTTTTGTGCATGGACAACTCGTCGCAATACGAGGTGAGTTTGCTTAGTGCCATCAACATGCTAGCGCGAGCTTGGACCCGCGTGAAAGAAGAAACCATCGCCAATTGTTTCCGGGCCTGTGGTTTCATGGAAAACTCGGGGGGATGCTTCTCCTTGTGCGCCAGTGGAAGTGGAAACAAATGAGCTCGACGACGGTAGCTTTCGCGCCGCTCTCGGTGACGTCCGTTTTGACGAGTATGTCGCTGTGGACAGCAACGTCGAAACATGCGGTCCACTAACGGACAGCGAAATCGTGCAGATGGTTCGGCCCCATGACTGCATTCCTGAAAATGACGATGATGACGACGACATTGGAAATGAGCCACCACCGAGGGCTGCCGATGTAGCTGCGGGTCTTGCTCTTGCGCAGCGGTTTTTTGTTGGAGAACACAACGCCGAAGAAGCACTTCGACATGTGTATTCCTTACAAAACTTGCTAGCCGCAGCCAGATTCGGCAAGCAGAAGAAGATGACAGACTATTTTTCCTCAAAACTGTCGCGCTTTTAAACTAATAAAAGTGCCGTTTTTAGTGCTTTTTGCTTAATTCGAAGTTCGTTTAGTTCGAAGTTTTTTGCGGTTCCCATGAACTTCGTATTAACGGGAGTTGACTGTACACTACTTTTAGACATGCTTGTCATCATTTGTGCCGTGAGAACTATCTGTTTATTTCTTATGTTTGTGATACAGGTGTGTGCCAAATTGCTTTCACTTGATTCCTGCACAACCAGCATACTGCAGTTTAGTAGGTGCAACGCTTAAACTATGCATGGAATGTATGTTGGCAGTTTTTTGGCTTGTGGAGTAAAAAGCCCCTTAAGGGGGCTGCGACACTTTTGGGACAGCATTATTTAGCACCAAAAGGCGTGTAGCGATGATTACTGAGACGAATGCAACAAGAATGATGGAAATTGGGGAACGGAAAGTGAAGTTATGAGTCCTCAAAGTTCAAAACTCGAGCAGACGACGACGAGAAACGGTTTCTTTCGCATTTCACTCACCTGCTGACGTCAAAGACCGCTTCCAATCACAGCGTGCATCTCGCAAAGACATTCCGGAAATGTCACCTCAATGTGGCCTTCACAAAATACCTTGCTACCGCTCTTTCTGACGGTGTCGTTTGCATGGTTACTATGAATCACATGCGTCGGATAGCGGACGCTTCCACGGTCACACTGTGTAAGATACACACTTACGCTTTTGTAGGGGTCACTTCTTTGCTTGCATGCAAGACGTGTTCTACGGCAACGCCGGAAACCACCGCCTGCCGCATTTTTAGCTCGCTAAAAACGTGGCATGCATTTCCACCTTTAGTTTCTGGCATACCATAGCCTCGTTCGCAGGCTAAATGTTGTGCTTGTTCTTCTGAAAATACATCATTTAGAAACAGGAATGATTTCTTTTTGAGAGCTGTTTTTAGCATTCACTCGTATGGCCGAGCTACCACCATATGAATATTGCACGCTATTTCTTGTGTCAAGCTAATCAAATGCGAACGGATTTGTCGTCACGTCACATGACATGAGGGTACTTCCTATAACAAAAATAGTCGATATGTGTCCCCGTAGTTTGAAATCGAGGTTGTTTGTCTGGTCAATTAAAATTATTACATTGTCTATTTGGGCGTTGTCTTGTGTGCAACAATATCTGTGCGTTCCACAGCACCAGAAGAACCGATGAAAAATACATGCTCAAAAAGTGTCGCAGGGCCTCTTTAACCATCTAAAGGTCAATGACTCATTTTTTAGTTTGCCCATACTTTTTAATGTTACCGGTACACCAGATTGTGTTTACTGTGCTATCAGAACACATGTTTTAGTAAAGTTTTAGCTTCCCATACGTAAACATCTATGTTGGTAGCTAAATGTAAGTTTGCACAAACCACTAAATGATGATACACTCAGACCTCATTATAAAAAAATCAAACCTGCCCCAAAAATACTTTGTTATATCCCAAAATTTGTTAGAAACATATATTTGCAGCGATGTATCTGTGACAGACGTATTCTTCAATTACTTCATTATAACTGATACTTCTTTACATCTGGTTTCGTTATATCCAGGTTTGAGTGTAAGTGCATTTACACTATATTTCACTTATATAAGATTCAGTCACCGCTGTGGCAAAGTTGTAATACAGGTTTTTAGCGTGTATTGTTATCTGGTTTACACAATAGGGTGTAGGAATACAGGGTTACAGTACAATGTTATTGACATTTTGAGATGCCTTGTGCAACCACAGTCATGGACATGTTTGTTTTTGCATAGTATTTTTAGATGGAAAAAAGGAATAAAAAGCAACTCTGTCGTAACTAGGCATTTACACCAGAAGTAGAACGCACCATATTCTTGCAGCAACAAGATTGTGCTTGCCTGCTTCATCGGTGCCCTACCAGGTGGCACCACTTATTAGACCTATCTGGGGCTTCAGGCCTTTCATGTTTCACGGATTCAGTATTCTGGGTCACTCTAGCTTTAATAAACCTGCTTTTAAACAGTGCTTGCATTTCAGCTTATTTTGAAATGGCAGCTGGAGTCTGTAAAGCGGTAATCGCGAGTAGCCATAAACAAAGTGGAATTTGCCAGATATGGCCGTGAACGTAAAATGTGTCGAGCGAGCACATTATGTTTTGTGAAAGCAAGTCTATGTACATAGTTTTATGCGTGCTCACTTTTCTTCTCGCATTATAGTAGCACAGTAACTCGAGAATCATACAGACAAGCTAAAAACGTCTATTATGTAGTGTTTGTGTACGAGTATACAAGTATTATGAAGCCACAAGAATTTTCGGAAATGATGTTTTAATGGCCGAGTTAGAGGTGTGCAATAATTGCGGCCGCGACACATTTTTTGCTTTCCTTTGCTACTCTCGCCCCAGCAGGTCTTTTTCCTATCGGTTATAACTCTAAAATGTCATGTGGACTTTATTTCTCCACCAGCATCACATTTGTGCTTTTTTCTCATCTCAAAACACTGCACACTTCAAGCTACAATGACTCTATGTTTTTGGTTTCTCTAATGTTGCTGTTTTGCCTCTCCGGCTCGTGCTTCAGTCATGACATGGCAGTGCACCACCCTTCAATGTCATAAAATTTCTCCCATGTGAGAGGGGCAAGCGGAGGGTGACCT